CGTGGATTCAGTTTCTCACTTGGGGAATATAGTGGGGGGAGCTGCTAAGTCCTTCCCACCAGAGACATTCTAGCAGGGACCTGAGCAATATTGTGATCCAGAGAGGAGAGTCCAGATGCAGAGAGGCTAGGTAGGAAATGATAGCAGGGGCTCTCTTGAGTCTGAGTGGGGTCTTGAATGTATTCACTCAACAGACACTTTTTACCCAGTGCCTGCCATTGTACTAGACATTGGGAACAGAACAGTGATCAAATCAAATTACTGAACTCAAAGTTCTTAGGAGTAGCAGATGAACTGGGAGCATGAGTGATGGGTCTAGCTCTGTAGTAAAAGCTTATCTCATGGGATGGAACTTGGGATTCTTGGAGTATGCGGTACCAGGAAAGAAAAAGCAGAAAGTATTTGAGAGAAAAAGAGCTCTAAGGAGATAGAACCTGAGGAAACATTCTGTGGAAACCATCAGTGAGCCACCCCTTGATAGAAAATACATTCTTCACTGAGCCAACACATCAAACCCAACCTCAGCCCATACCCAGAATATCCTCCTGTGGCTAGGAAGCTAGGACACGCCAGAGAGATAATGTCCATTTAGACATTCAGTTCTCCTTGACATCACTCCTATATATGAAGTTAAATTATACCAAAGCCACATATGGTTTTGTATAATAGCTGGTCTATTTGGTTTCCTCAGAAAGGTCTTTAATAACTACCAGTGATGTGTAAAAAAAATGGCTCAGGCGGCTATCCTAGCTGCCGCCCCTTGCATTTTTTTTCCCCAGACCAGCTGGCTCTTTCCCACCCCCTACCCCTGCCCCCTTTCCCCAAGTAATTGGAGCAGATCCAAAAATGGCTTCTGAGAGCCTTGAGCTCTTCCTTATTTACCCTGCAGTAATCACATTTCACAGGTTGTCTTCCCTATTGGAGGCTGAGGCCCAGCAATTAGTCTCCCATTGTCCTTGCAGGAAATGACATCCATGTGACTTCTTGGGAAGACAACTGTTGGCTCCCCTGGTTAAAATACTTTGGAACATGATCAGCATTTCCTCTGGTTGATCATTGAGAACAGCAGATTTAGAGGGCTTTGGGAAATGTGCAGAAGATCTATGGTTGACAGAACTGACCCGAAATAAGACTGGGTCAGTTTCCTGAGCAAATTGAGTCTCTGAACTGTTGCCCTGGTCTCTGCATGCACTGCCTTATCTGACTCTTCAGCATGCGGCTGAGCCCAGGGCCTTGGCGTTCTATTCCTTTCATCATGCTTTATTGGGAACTGAAAGTTTTCCATCTGCAAATAATTGAAAACCCAACTCAAGGAGGCCGGAACAATAAGAAATTTCTTGGAAACTCAGAGATACCACAGGCCTCAGGGTTGACCAGTGCAATAACCTGCACTCTGTTTCCCTGTGTTTTTCTTGTCTCTGACCAGCTCTATCCATAAGCTGAAGCAGTTAGTTATAGATATTCTAGACATCATATCGACATAATTCAGGAGCAAGGACTTTCTCCCAAAAAGTGAGAAGCTCCGGGTAAAATATTTGTCATGTCTCAATAGCTTATCCTTGAACCAATCACGGGCAAGAGAATGGGTTTCCCTTGGATCAGGACCATTCAAACCTCGTACACACAGATCACCTGGGGAATCTTGTAAGATAGATGGTGATTGGGTTGGTTTGGGTGGATCCATGGAACTGCCATTTTTAAGGACCTTGTGAGTGATGCTAATGCCATTGATTGGCATACTCCAAAACTGTGGACTATTGAGTCCCCATCCCCCAGCTGAGAGTGCTGTCACCTACCCATGAGACACTGAGGCTGGAGAAATGCTGTTAGGAAAAAGGGGGAGGCAGTGACCCCACGGAGATGAGACTGTAGTAGAGATACTTATTCCCAGTGTGTAATAAAAATTGTACCTTTAAACCAGGAGCCACACGTCATGTATCAGTCTGTGGTATGTATCAGAAACAAAAGGGCACACCGGGATACATGTTGTTGTATGGGAGCACCCATAAAAATGTTATTACTCATCAATGATGATGCATACATCGTAATTCTAGAATCAGAGGACAGATCAGTCATGCCACCCTCTTTGTTATCAGTTATTTTTATTGGTAATTAATGCCACATATCTCAAAAAAAAAAAAAGAAATTCGGATGAATTGCATCTTCACGTCCTTCAGTATAAAAAGGCTGTGCCAAGTCCAGCCTTTGTTCTCTGAGCTCATCAGTCTTTGTCATTATTGGGGAGGGAGTATGTACTCCCACTCACCCTAAGAGTCACTTGACATGATGTCTGGAGTGAAAGATGCTGCCAATTGTGAATTTCTGCCAAAGCAAGTGGTCACAATGCCCTGATGAGTGGTTTTCAGTGGAGAAAATCATTATGCTCTCTTCATTTGAAAAGGAAGAATTATTCTGTTGTTTGATTGATTGGTTGATTGACAAAATACACAGGAATCCCAAGCTGCAGCTATTCAGGAAAAAGACTCAGAAGACTGAGGCTAGTCCTGTGAACATCCTGAGGCTGGTCCATCACAGACTCAGTGGGTACCAAGGATGGAGCAAAACTTCCTGAGACAATCACTCTGGTGGCTGCTGTCTCTGATCTCATAGGCAAAGACAGCATCATTCACAAGGATACTTGGAGGAGAGATAGAATTTCATCCTTTCTACTATTCACTCCATCAGCTCCACAACTACAGGCTCACATCTGTGAAACTAATAGAAAAACTGGGTCTTGGTTTGGTCTCTGGTGGGTGTCAGGCAACTCTACCTGGCCTCACCAACTTGGGTCCTCTTGTGGGAATCACTGACAGTTCCTTATCTGTGTAGAGGTTATGGAAGAGTAAGAGATCCTCAGCTACTCTGAGCTAGCTGGGGATAGCTGCTGGACTCCAGTCTCCAAAAAAGGCATGGATAGCATCTTATGTCACACAGGTACCCATGTATCAGGTACCTGTAGCACAGCACAGACTAAGCATTCCCTCTCTGAACAGAAAGAACATTTCATTTCCTAATCTCAGTCATTTATGATTTAAGTATAGTATTCACCTATATATGTAGGACCTCATAGATTGCCAAAGAGATAATATTAATATTAGCCAAGCACATGTAGGACACACAGGATTACACTCCTAACCACTGATTGATTCAGACATTCCTGGTGAACACCTCACCTGCCTGCTACAGGGCAGGGCATTATTAGCCACAGGAGGACTGAAAATATGGAATAAAAAGGGCCTTTTCTTACAAATTACAGAGCTTACAACTTAAAATGTAAAGTAGAGGAAGTACATTTATATATCAAATAACACGGTAGTGTTAAGAAGAAAAACAAAAGAGAATTAAGATAATACCGAATTAGAAAAATCAAGGTAGAAAAGGTAAAGAGAGAGACCTTTTAGATGATGACCAGAATGAAGTCCATGGATCATTTTTAAGGGGTCTTGAACTTATATGGGAAGAAAAATCATAATTTGCATTAACCCTTAACTGAAATCTAACATTTCCTATTATTATTATGGAAGCAGCCTTAGCTTCCAGCCCTAGCTAAGTTCTATTCCAAATAGAACTTAGGAATATTTTTATATTATATTACAGTTGCAGTATCCTGAAACATCATTTATTGTTTAAGGATATTTCAAAATCACAGTAGTTATTAGAGTTTCTCTGAAAATTATTCAAAAATTGAAAAAAAACTCATTTCAATTTTGTTAAACATTTTGATAACTATAAATCAATGCACAGCTTATTTTGAATACTGTGCATTTCATGTATTAATATCAATCATTTAAAAAACATTATTTTGAAAAACATGTCTATAGAATGTCATGGTACAAAAAAAGTAAAAAGCGTCCCTGCCTTAGAAAATAGCTGGGCATCCTCCCATCAGCCCTTGGAGAAGGGACTGGCCAGCTAGAAGCCCAGGGCAGGACAGGTACCTGGAGCTGCAGTGTCTGGTGGGAACATGTGGGAGTCAAACTGGGATGAGCTTGAGAGTGCTGGGGACAGCTGCTGGACTTCAGTCTCCAAAAAGGCATGAATATCATGCTTGTGTCATGCAGGTAAAAAGAGGAATCTAGTAGGGGAGCCAGAAGGTGTGTCTGCCAAGAATGCCTTGCAGAGCTGCAGAGGTAGATGGGAAGGGAGGGACCAGCGGCCCAGGGACTGGTTTCTGTAAGGCGTGATGCACACCAGATGGGGTATCGTGATGAGAAGGAGAGCAGCAGCCAGTCCCAGCGCTGCAGTGGAATTCCAGTAGCATATTTGGGCCTTGGTTCGCACCAGACATGAGGAAGGCCACGCTGTGTTCTGAGCCTGTTTACTGAGTGCTCATAGTGTGCCAGATGCTGTGTTAAGCCTTTCTGAAGTGTCATTTCTGTCTGTAAATCTATGTCATTGAATCCTCATGGCAACCCTCAGAGGTTAGTACAATGATCCCTCTTTTGTGGATAGTAAAATGAAATCTAAAAAAAAAATTGGTTAGGAAAATTGCTTAGGATCTCTCAGGTAGCTGGGAAGAAGGGACAGTTGAGGAGGATAAGATTGCTTTGGTTGAAATTTGTTATGAGTTCCACTTTAGATATTTTTTTTCCATTGTTCTCTTATCTTTGATTATTTTAAGGGGTTAAAAATTCAACAATTTCAGGTTTTTATAGCTTTATTTTATTTATCCATTTTTACATGGTACTGAGGATTGAACTCAGAGCCTTACACATGCTATGCAAACATGCTCTACCACTGAGCCACAACCCCAGCCCCCAATTTCAACTACTTGTGAATAGAGTTTCTGATTTATTTCATTATCCAGGTTTATTGTAGCATGTACTGAGGTAATTGGTTTCATCTTCCTGTGAAAAACAAAGAGGAAACCAGTAGGAGGAGTTTGGTAAATTGATGGGTGCCCAAAACAAAGGAAAGAGATCAACTTTTCCAGAAAGACAATGTACTTAAATTATACCTATTGAGTGGTTATTTATTTATTTATTTGTATTGTTTTTCAGAATCAGTCTTGCTGCTGTTTTAGAAGACATGTGGTGTATATAAAGTTTGTGATAGTTGGCGGAAATTTTGGTAAGTGATGCTGCATTTATTTCTAGTACCTTCTGTTGTAAAATGGTGCTCATGAAGGAAAGTCGTTGCCCTGTTCTCTGCATCTTCTAAATCTGCACTAAACTTAGAAAGGAATTTTATAATTAAATGCAATGCTGAATTGATGTTTTCTGACAGTATGGTGTTTTCCCCGTAGTTATTGCTAATGTTATTAAGCAATATGGGGTTTTCTGAAATGCAGCAAGTCTCGATTTAGGAAAGCTTCTGGGCACAGGATAAAGAACACCATGACAGCTTAGTTTATGCTCTAAGCCAGCTGTATAACATGATAATCAACTTGTACACCAAAAGAATTAAATAGTTTCTGAAGCAGAAAAATCCTTATTACCTAGATGTTGAAATGAGAGAGAAGCAGACCACTAGCTGCTTGAGGAATGGTAAATTAAAGAATTTAAGGACCCAACATGCCTGTGAGCTTGCCCACAGACTGGCGTTCAGTGGCCCAAGAGACCAAGAACGTTCAATCCAGCAACCATCCAGAGCATGCTAGTAGTAATAAAAAGGACAGTCTTTAAGGTCAGGAGACCTAAGTTAAAATTCAAGTTCTGCACCTACTGGTTGTTATATAACTTTTCTGAGTTTCTTAAAAAGAGGCCTCCAATGCTACCTACCCCATTGGGTTGCTGTGAGAATAAAATGAGATTGGTAGTACCGGGGCATGGTAGATGCTCAATAAAGCTGTCATTTTCATGTCCAGCCTTGTTGGAGACTGGACATTTGTCATTGACAATAAGCCACCAAAAGGCATCTTCCAGCAGGAGGGCTGCTGGGATGGGTTGGTCACACCCATTTGATGTCACAGGGCACCGCACAGCTGCTCACCACAGCCCCTTCCATCATTCATTCCATAACCTCTGTGGCATTTACCATCTTTTGTAATCTTGGCAATCCATTCTTAGACAGGCTGGGCTAATTGAACTTCCCTTCCTGCCACCTTTGCAAGCAAATGAAGTCACATTGTTTGAGCTTTATTTGAGTTTGGAGTTGATGTTATTTTGAAACACATTAACAGTAAGAGAAAGAGGGCTTAAGGGTAGATAGTACCCTTAATAAGTATGGTAAATACCATATATAGGCTTTAATTTCTAAACCTTCCTTTGGATTTTATATATATATATATATATATATATATATATATATATATATATATATATTTTTTTTTTTTTGCCTATGCTTATTGGGTAGCTTCTCAGAGATCCAATTATTGAACTAAAAATTTTGAGTTTTGACTAGAAGTATTTGGTTTGGAGATGAAGATCTTTACCCCATAACTACAGATGGACTGATGATATTGAAGATCCTATGTCTATAGGTGACTCTGCTGCAGTTTCATGGAATCAAAAAGATGGACATGGCCTCAGGCAGTGTCTGCTCCAACCTCCCAATTACCAAAAGTCTCTTCTACAAAATTCCTGATAGGGGAATTCAAATTTTCTTAGAGATAAGGAACTTGCTGTTGCTTAAGGCAGCTTGCTAGGGCACCAACACAGAGAGGAGAAATTAACTCTGCCTTTCTGAACTCTGGTAGGGGAACTGTTGGTTACAACACTCTATCACATATTTCAAAATATCTTGAAGAGTACAAGAGTCGCCAAGAGGTGACTAAAATTTGAGGAGATAGAAGTGCTTATTACTTTGATTTGGTCATTACGCATTGCATACGTGGATCAAGTCACTATACTGAACCCCATGTAGATATACAAAGGTTCTGTCTCAATAAGAAAATAAAATAATAAATAAACAATTAGGGGATTCAGAGAAATTTTCGGGGAGGGGATAAAAGTGTTCCATAGCTTAATTATAGTGGTACGTGTACAGTTGCATGCTTTTGTGAAAACCCACAGGACTGAACACACTAGAAAGGGTGAATTTTGTTGTAAGTTAAACCTTAATTGTTAAAATGGAAAAAAAAATGAGCAGTTAGACAAACAACTGGACAATTATCTCAACTTTTTAAAAAGAAAGAGAGGCATGGAAAGGAGGCGATGTAAAAATGGACGGAAAGAAAAACAATCTAGTTTTTGGGACTCGAATATGTGCTCCATGGGACAGGGATTGGACTTACTCCTTTCTGTCATCCCAGTGCCTAGCACATGGAAGAGATGTGATAAATTTGTAAACGTTTATTGAGTCATCTTCTGCTCTTAGTCACCTTCTAAGGAAGTCCACTCACTCTCCCACATGCCAGCTCTCCAGATATTTAGATATTCTCCTTCCTCATTGACCTTCTCTTCTCTGGGCTGAACTTCCCATCCCCCACTCTAGGACTCTTTCATATCCTTCCCTGCCCTGCAAAACTCCTTGAGGAGAGCACTGTCCCTCCTGTACATATGCCCAGCACTTGAAGTGCTGCCCCTGATGGGATCTGGCCCAGAAGCATGGCCTCTGCCGACGATGTTAACAGATACCCAATTCTAACCCCTGTTGTCAGTCACTACCTGGCAGTGGGTCAGTGAGGGTTTCTGTTGAACCCTCTTCTAAGAATGGATATCCAGAAAGCAGGGAGGGTCACTTCCAGGAGCTAGGTGATAGCAAATCCGTCCTCATCCTAGTTCTGACTAAAATGAAGCCAGGTCCTGGCTCCCTTAGTAGGAGACACCAGCAGTGCTGTTTATAAATCTCGAGAGGAGGTAGAGTGTCACAGATCCCAATTCTTCATTGTGAGTCAGGGGAGGTTTGAGATTCTTAAAACTAAATCTTGTGGTCACCTCGAAAAACCCAGACCTTTGTTCTCCTGGCCATGCCAGGGGGTGAGATATAAACACATAAATAGAGAGTGAGCAGTGATTCAGGAGCGGGGTCAGTTTCACCCTCCCAGAAGACATTTGGTAGTATCAAGCCCCAGCTGAGGGGAAGGAGGGTGTGCTAATGGAGTCCAGAGGGCAGGGTGTGCTAAATGCCCTACAGTGTTCGGGACAGCAACACAACACACACACAGAATGACCCAACCCCAAATGTCAGTAGTGCTGACCTTGAGGAACTCATACTAGAAGCAGTAACAAAATTTAAATGTCTGAAGTACTCATTTCTTTAAATCTTTACAAATTTAAATATTTTCACACGCATGTAATTATATGTAATATGTAAAAAACAAATTGGTTCAGGATTCAGAAGGCTGAAAGGGCCTCAGAGAAGTTACCTCATCTGTTACCCTTGACTCCAAGCAAAAACTGACCTAAATAAATCCAGACTATGGGCCTCCAGTGGCTCATACTGAATGCTGGTCCCCCTACACATAAAAGTGAGACTCACATAGCATGAGCCCAGCGTTTCCACAAAAGAAGTCTCGTGCTTTCAATTTCAGCCCCAGCCTGCTCAGATGTGTTTGTCTTCAGGTGACCTCAGAGATGAAACCCTACTTCAGTCTGGGCTGTTCGTTCTTTTAAATCAAGGGTAGCAATTCTGTTGTGATCAAAATGTGCTTAGGGAGCAGAGAGATCTCATTACAGATGATTGAGATTGAGTATTTTGGTACCCAGGACTGTTTATTTGCATCAGTTTGCTAGTGACACCACAATCTGGCTTAAATGTGAGTTGCTGAGAGCTTTTGTAGCCCAATATGGCTACATTTGCTGAAGCAGAGAGATTAAAGCAACATATGTCAAGTTGTGATATAGAACAATCCACTTGAAAAGACTTCACTTAATTATAGGGCCTATTTTGGGAGGGTAACTGTGCTTTTTGTGAGGTGTATTTTGGGATACACTAACCCAGCTTCTAGGCCAGTAATATCTTCCCAGAAAGGGTGTGGCAAGTACAGTGGACATAAATATTTTCTTACCAAAAGCTTTGGTATAATATTCTTTCGACTTTATGCCCCTCAATTTTTCTTTTATGGGTAGTCTTTCTTCTTGCAAGAATGCAATGAACATGTATTCTGGAAAGCCAGAGAAGGATAAAAGATCTCATTTCAGATGGCCAAGCCCATAGATTTAGGGACTTGACATTATCAGCCGACTGTTTTGAAGAATGGATGGAATTTACCAAAGTTGAATTGGTAAACAGAGTTGAGTGAGGTTATAAAAAACACTGTGTTGGCACTAAATACTGTTGGATCTGTGGAGAAGCTGTCCATCCATCACTCTGTGCCCAGTGCCCCTCTGACCGCCCCCCCGCCCCCATAATCCTCATGGGCCATTTCACTCCCCCTTCCTGCTGGCTTCTGACCTGGAGTAGGCATCTGCTTTCACTTCTTTTTCTTCCAGATGTGTTCCTTTTACCCATTCTGCCTCCTTGGTCCCAGCCTTCTGTGGCCTCCTTCATTTCTCTGTTAATACCTGAGGCTTTGAGCCTTAAAGGAGAGGTCAGAGCTTCCTGTCTGGTCAGCATTTCCTAGACCTCATTTAAAAATGAATGATACAGGAGAAATCAGCTCAGCACAATGAAAGTACCTTCTCCTTTACACAGTGGCGGGGAGGAGCAAAGAGAAAGAGGGAGTAAAAACAAGCGATTCTGTGATGCCCAGGCCTAAAAGCAAAGAAGCACTTTTACCTAAATTCTGAGTTATAAAGGCCATGAAATGAGAGCAAGAGTGAACCCTGAAGAGAGCTGAAGGCTGCCTTCTACCAGAGAAGTCTCTAGAGGGAAGCAATCTGTGGCTTTCTGTGTCCAAATCACCCAAACAGCTGGTTTTAAAGTGCAGCCAGGGGAGGGGGCACTGCTGAGCGGTAGAGCATGCTCTTAGCACGCGTAAAGCCCTGGGTTCCATAGCCCCAGTCCACCCCAGGTTCACAGACACCCAAAGTAGGTAGTCTTCATGGTGGTAGACTCTCCAGGGGGTTCTCAGACACTAAATTGTGAAGACCCCAGCTCCATTATCCCATCTCAGCCTCAGAGCTTACAGTCCACCAGAGGCCATGGTGTGCTAGTCTGCCTCACCGCCAAGATTCCCTTTCCAAAGCATTGTTCAAAAGTTTAAAACAGACGTCTCTAAAGTACATTATTCTGAAAATCAGACCTGA